AAGAATCTTCATAGTTTTGTTGATTTTCTCTGTTGTTTCTCTATTCACATTTTATTTATTTCTGCACTAATTTTTATTATTTTATTCCTTCTGCTACTTTAAGTTTCCAATTTATTTTTGCTTCTTTTTTCTAATTTCTAAAGGTATATAGTGAAGTTATTGATTTATGATCTTTTCCCTTCTTAAATGTCTGCATTTACAGCTATAAAGTTACCTCAACCACCACTTTTGCTGCATCATAGGTTTCTGTATGTTGTGTTTTCATTCTCAGTAGCCACAAGGTATTCTCTAAATTCTCCTGTGATTTCTTCTTTGACTATTGATATTATTTAGTGTGTTGTTTGATTTCTCTGCATTTGAGAAAATCTCATAGAACTTCTTAATCGGTTTCTACTTTTATTTTGCAAATTGTTTCATCACTGCACCACTAGAATAATTCTTCAAATATTCAAATAAGTTGTCTTGCCATTCATACTGTGTGACATTGCCCCATACATAGGTTTTTTGTTATAGCAACTGGTTTGTATAACAATCAAGAGAGATGTGTGTGGTAACAGAACAATAGTCCCCCCACAAAGAAGCCCATGTACTACCATCCCGAAACTAGCAATATTTTACTTCATATGGCAAAACAGATTTTGGAGAAGTGAGTAAGTTATGAGTCTTGGCATGGAAAGTTTATCCTGGATTATCATGTTGACACTGAAAATTCCCATGGATCCCTATGAAAAAGAGGTAGAAAAGTCAAATTATTAGAAGAAGAAGTGAAAATGGAAACAAGAGGTTGGAGTGATGGGAAGATGGGAACCCTAAGAAAAGGAATGCAGACAGCCTCCAGAATTTGGAAAGACAAGAAGCTGCAAAAGGAATGAAGCTTCCCTGACACAGAATTTAGCCCAGAAACACCAATTTGGCATTCTGACCTCCAGAACTATGAGGTAATAAGTTTCTGTTGTTGTAAGCCTTGAGGATTTTGGTATTTTCTTAAAGCAGCCTTAGGAAACTCATATAACATGATTATGCTTTGGGGGAGGGGATTCTCAGGAAGTTGAAATAATGTTTCACTTCTTATTTACACGACAAGTTCATTGTGTGTTGGGAGCTCCGCACATCACTGTCACTCAGGTTTCCAGGCTGATGGAGCAGACACATCGTAACATGTGGAACTTGGTGGAGGAGGAAAGATGGAGCTGTTCTCACAGTTAGATGCATGTCCCACAAAGTACATTCATCGCCTCTGCTCACAGCTCAGTGGTCTCAGAGGTCTCATTACGCCACCCGATGCAAACGTCCAAAAGTACAACTCTCCATGACCCCATCAAGTGGAGAGTCAGAAATATTTGGGAAGCATGACACCTCCAGAGAGGGCTCAGCACTCAAACCCAGTCTCTGCCACATCACTTAACATCTCTGTACCTCAGTTTCATCATTTGTAACAGGGTCTCACTTACAAGCTCATTGTGAGGGTTGCACACGATGACACGTGCAATGTACTGACCTCAAGGCCCACACAGAGTGGGCTCAGTCAGCAACAGCTTTGTTGATCAACACTTGACAAAACCTAGAGGATCAGAAAAGGATGAATAAATAACTGCTTTGTTTCCCTCCAGGAGTGGCAGGTGAGAAGGAGCTGCAGGTGATTCAGCCTGAGAGGTCGGTGTCCGTCACAGCCGGAGAGACGGCCACTCTGCTCTGCACCGTGACCTCCATGTACCCCGAGGGGCCCATCCAGTGGATCAAGGGGACAGGATCGGACCAGCAGTCAATCTACAGTTTCGAACAAAGTGAGGCAGCCCGCTCCCCTCAAATATCAAGAGTTGCAGACACCACAAGGAGCAACAATACGGACTATTCCATCCGCATCAGTAACATCAGCCCAGCAGACTCCGGTACCTACTACTGTGTGAAGTTCCAGAGAGGAAGCACTGGTGAATACGTGGAGCTGAAGGCTGGAGCAGGCACTTGGCTCACTGTGAGTGGTGAGTACAGTGTGGGGTCCTCATCCCTGATGTGTGACAACAAGTCAAATAAGAACGACCTCCATCCTTTGAACAACAACTAAGATTCAGGTGCCGAAAAGGGCACTTATAGTCATGATCTGACTCGTGACCTGATTTCGTCCCTTCTACAGATCAGGGTCACTGAGGCCTGGCGAGGTCGTGCTATTCACTCAGGCCCCACAGCTGGTAAATGGTGGGAAAAGTCTGGAACCCCCACCTGCCTGGCTGCGCAGTCTGTGCCTTTTCCAATCCCAAACAGCCCCTTGGTTCCAGGGATGACGGAGCTGAGAGTCTGAGTGGCTTGCCCGTCACAGGGCAGACCTCACCGCTGCCTCCAGAGAGAGCTCCCCTCAGTGTGGCCGGGCTGCCCCTTACTGACACTCACTGAGCACCCGCTGTGGGCCTGGCTCTGCTCTGGGTGCTGTGACAGCTGCAGTGAAGAGAGCAGGCAAAGCCTCCTCTTCCATGAGCTTCGTTCTCTTCCCTCCAGGGAGGAGAAATCCACCCGGAGCAGGAAGGGGGAGAACGTGTTTTTTTGATTCACCCTCAGAACTATCACACCGAGAAGAAATTTCTAAGAGGCACAGACTCAGTTTTTACTCTGACAGCCCTGGTTGGAGGAGGTGGCCAGAGGCAGGTCACTCACTGTGGCCATTTTCAAAAAGAACCCTTGCAGTTTAGGGACTGAGTCACAGAGTCACTGAAGCCTCTGACCAGAACTGGGTCATC